GCTGCGGCCGGCCGTGCCCGCGTCGGCCTGCTACCGGGACGGGCAGCAGGATGACGGGGGGCAGGGCGGCGGCGGCGGCTACGACGCCGAGCGCTGCCAGTGGCTGCTGGGCGAGGGCGGCGCGGGGCGCTTCTACGTCGACGACCCAGTAACGGTGCTGACGCGGTGGCCGCAGGGCGACACGTGCCCCGCGTCGACGCCTCCGGCAGCGGGCAACTGCACGCGCGGCGGGTACGCCTACTATGTGGTTAACGCGACGTCGGTGCGGCAGATCCAGGCGGCAGTGAACTTTGCCCGTAACCGCAACGTCCGCCTTACTGTCAAGTATGTCAGGAGCTACGACTGGCTGTCCTGCCCAACATAGGTACCTACCTAACTACCTACATATTGGGCGCTAACGGCCCGCTGTTTCACATCCAGAAACACCGGTCATGACTTTGTGGGCAAGTCGACGGGGCGCGGAGCGCTCAGCGTCTGGACGCACAATCTCAAGTCGTTCGAGTTCATCCCGTCATACAATGTCACAGCGGACGACGGCGGAACGCTGCTGTACAGCGGCATGGCGGCGCGAGTCGGCACGGGCCTCGAGAGCTGGGAGATGTACGCCTTGATGCGGCGGCACGGCATGCACCTGGGCGTCCCCGGCGACAGCACCGTGGCGCCCTACGGCGGGTGGGTGCAGGGCGGGGGCCACCACAACCTCGCGTCGCGCCTGGGCCTCGGGGCCGATCAGGTGCTGAGCCTGCAGGTCGTCACGGCCGACGGGCGCCTCGTCACGGCCGACCACGTTGCAAACCCGGATCTGTTCTGGGCCCTCAGAGGCGGCGGCCCCTGTACGTTTTTCCACCGTCTCCTTCCTGGCCTGCATAAGGCTGGGGCTTTTCTCGGTTGGGAAAGGCTCGTCCTGCAAAGCATGGGCCACTAGCGTCGGGGCGTTGGGCTATCCCAGGCTAGCGCCAAGCCATTTCCCCCGAAGTTTAGCGCATGTATTCGTCAGCGGCAACCATCGCACTAGGCCTAGTAGGTTAATACGGCGATGCTTCCACCACAAGGCTGACCAGGCGTTGCCACTGGGGCGGACGCACACCCGCAGCAACCTACGGCATCATTACGTCGGCCATCGTGAAAGCACATGCACCACTGGAAGTGGTGCAGTCGCCGCTCCGCTTCTCGACGGCGCTGGTCAATGCTACAAACGCGACGAGCGCGGCGGAAAAGGCCGAAGTGTTTTGGGCCGCCGTTGGCGCGACCTACTGGTTTTGCAAGCACGTAACGGACGCGGGCGGCACCGTGTATGACAACATCCGGCGTTTGTCTCCAGGTGACGGCGGCTTCGACTTCACGGCCGACTTTGAGCTTCCGGGGATGACGGGTATGACGGCGAGGGCGCTCGTGCAGCCGCTGTACGACGAGCTGCGGGGGCTGGGCGTGGCGGTGGCGGCGACGGCGACAGTGCGTGCGTCGCCGCGATCGACGGACGCGAGCGGCGGGCGGGGCGACAGGCCCGGCAACACACGCTTCGCCAGCCGGCTGTTCCCGCGCGCCAACTGGGAGGACGTGGGCGTGTTCGCGGCGACCATGACGGCGATCCGGCGGCCGGTCGAGGCCGGGTACACCTTCCACGGGATTCATATGACGCCAACGCTGGCGGTGGCGGGCTGGCCAGGGCGGGACAGCGCCGTCAACCCGACCTTCCGCACGACGCAGATGCACGCAGACCTGTTCGACCGCGCGTCGGCGTCGCCGGGCGGCGGGGCGGCGGCGTGGCTCGAGACGTGGGCCGAGCTGAACCGACACATGCAGGGGATCCGCGAGGCGACGCCGGGCGGAGGCGCGTACGTCAACGAGGCGGACCGGCTGGAGCCCGGGTGGCAGGGAAGCTTCTGGGGCGACAAGTACGAGCGGCTGCTGGCCATCAAGGGGGCGCGAGACCCGTGGGGCCTGTTCTACGCGCCCACGACGCCTGGCAGCGAGGCGTGGGAGGTGCGCACGGCTGACGGTCTGCCGACGCAGAACGGGCGACTTTGCCGGGTGGGTGAGCGTGCGTGATGGAGAGGGGAGATTGTTTCTGCTGCTGGTGCTTTTGTTTGTGTTGATGGTGTTTGCTTGCATGGGCCTGCACGGTCTAAAGGTCTTGGCCAGGCTCCCTGGGGCTCCTTCCCGGGCTGTCGCGCCGACATGCCTGCCAGGCTGGCTGGGTGAGGACTGGCGCGACTTTGTCAGAAACACAGGTTTTAATCCAGACTATTGACGGCGACCCGTGCCGGAGTGCTGGAACGCCTCGCGATCTGTCTAGGCGGGCAGACGGCTAAGCTCTCTGCGCTGCTTGTCCGGTCTTGACTCTGGCGTGTCGATTGCTTGGGCTAGTTAGTCAGCCCCTCATGGTCCGTTCCTTCCCTGCGCCATCGGGATCCGGGCCGCTCGTTGTTATTATGGCGTCCTCTCTTTTCGCGTCGCCCTTGCCGAGAACGGGACTCGTTGTGTAGCACGCCTGCCCCCTGCTGGGGCGTGTGGACCCGCTCTCGGTGCTATTCTGGCCCTTTTGTCCCAAAACCACCTTTGAACCCTGCAACCACTGGCAGTGAGCAGAGAGGAGGGAGGGCGCCTCTAGAAGCTCGAGACTCGCGAGGCATTGACATTTGCATGGCGCCTGGTGCCAGATTGGAAGCGTTCCCGCCGCCGTCGCCTCCCGCCGTGTCTTGGGCATTCTTATCAACACCCATCCTGCATCTGCTGTCCCTCGAGATTCCAAATGTGACAGGGCTCGGATCGGATCGCACCACTTTATTTGCTGACTGTGCCTGTCCCCGCATCCCCACACATGCTCCATCTTTGCAGGTCGTCCCAATTTCCCCTCTATTCGCAACTGGGGCTCCCTAGGATCCCCATCTTCTCTTCCCATCTGGGCAGCCGGAGGCGCCACGGTCCGCTCCTCCAGGCTTGGGTTGTCTGCGAAGAGGCCAGGAGCCGAGAAAAGGCAGAAGGAGAAGAAAAGAAGCAAAGAAAAGAAGCAAAAGAAAAGAAGCAAAAGAAAAGAAAAATGGTGAAGCAACGGCGACGAACACCTCGCAACCGACGGCACGCCTCCTCCTGTCAAGCCCCTGCACGACACACCGGCCCTTGGCGCATTGAACAGAGAAATCAGCATGGGGACCCGGCCAGATCTCCCTCCCACTGTCTCTCCTCCCTCCCCCATGGGGCTGCCTGGCCTCCACCAGCACTCTATTGTCCATGCCCTGTACAGGCATCTCAAAGTGGGCCGTCCTACTGCCGTGTAAGCGTGACAGGCATGGCCGTGGTAAATAAAAGGTCACATCGCGCGCCCTCATCAGACGTGTTTTTTTTTTGTTTGTTTCCTTTCGTCGCCGACGACGAGTAGACACAGGTCGCATCACCTTCCTGCGGACCGACTCCAGTGTCCCGTCCTGTCTCGCCTCACGCGAGGTCTCCCGCTGCCCACCTCCTCCCCCTCCTGTTCGCCGCTCACGCCCAGGAGCTCGCCTCCGCCATGTCTTCACAGCCTGAGATCGCCCCGGAGAAGGGCCCGGCTGCCGCGCGGGCTAAGGATCTCGACAATGACCTCAAAAAGGGCGATGATGTGCAGACCAAGGCGGTGCACAATGTGAGTCGCCAGCCGTCGCGGCAGAGACAAAGACGCCATGCTCACAGGACCCCCTCACACAGGCCGAGTTCTTCGCCGCCGTCCAGGAGTTCGACCTTCCCACATGGAGCAAGGAGGCCCTCATGCTCTACTTCTCCATCTTTGTGGCCTTCTGCTGCGCCTGCGCCAACGGCTACGACGGTTAGTCTCCAACTCTGTCGCGCGCCTTCGCAGGCCCAACACTAACATCACCAACCGCGCTCCCCAGGCTCGCTCATGACGGGCATCATCGCCATGGACCCCTTCCAGGAACAGTTCAAAGTGGGCAAGGTCGGTGTCGAGGTCGGCATCATCTACTCGCTGTACACGGTCGGCTCCATGGTCGGCGCCCCCTTCGCCGCCATCCTGGCGGATCGCTACGGTCGTCGCAAGGGCATGTTCTGCGGCGGTATCGTCATCAACCTCGGCATGATCATCGTCTCCACCTCGTCCACCGTCGCGCAGTTCATCGTCGGCCGCTTCGTGCTCGGCGTCGGCATCAGCATCATGACAGTTGCCGCCCCGTCCTACGCCGTCGAAATCGCCCCGCCCCACTGGCGCGGCCGCGCCACCGGCTTCTACAACTGCGGCTGGTTCGGCGGTAGCATCCCTGCCGCCGCCGTCGTGTTCGGCAGCAACTTCATGACCGGCAACATGGCCTGGCGTTTGCCCCTCATCCTCCAGGCCGCCGCCTGCCTAATCGTCATGGCCTCGGTCTGGTTTATCCCCGAGAGCCCCAGGTGGCTGATGGCCCAGGGCCGCGAGGCCGAGGCCATCGACTTCTTGGTCAAGTACCACGGCAACAACAACCGCGAGTCGCGCATGGTCAAGCTCGAGGTCGAGGAGATGCGCGAGGGGATCAAGCTTGACGGCATCGACAAGGTTTGGTGTAGGTTCCCGACGGGCTTCTTGTGGCAGCCCTTGCTTGTTTTCGCGGGATATGATGTGCTGATTGCTGACGCTCGATTTGCTCTCAGGGGACTACCGCCCGCTGTTCATGACGCACTCCGGTCGCTGGCGCATGACCCAGGTGCTCATGATCTCCATCTTCGGCCAGTACTCGGGCAACGGCCTCGGCTACTTCAACGCCCAGATCTTCGAGGGCATCGGTGTCAAGACCTCGGCCCAGCAGCTGGGCTACAACCTGCTGAACTCGGTCCTGTCCGCCATCGGCGCCCTGACCGCTGTTTACTTTACCGACCGCATGCCCCGCCGCCCCGTCCTCATCTTTGGAACTATGTGCTGCTCTTTCATGCTGGCCATCAACTCGGGTCTGTCTGCCAAGTTGGCCGAGTTCGAGGAACAGAAAGTCTTTGAGCCTTCTTATGGAGCTGCTGCGCTTTGGGTAGGTTTGCCCGGCCAGGGATCTCCTGGATCCCTCTCCTAGCTTCAACGAGAATCGCTCCTGCTGACGCGCGCTATTTGTAGTCCTACTTCATGTTCAACATCATCTTCAGGTGTGTTATGCTCCAAACAGCTTGAGCTTTCCGGCCGCCCTTTTCGAAAATTCCCTTTTGCCCTTACTACCATGGTTGCTAACCCGTGCCACGCAGCTTCACATACACCCCTCTTCAGGGTGCCATCCCTAGCGAGGCCTTGGAGACGACCATGCGCGCCAAGGGTCTGGCCCTGTCCGGCATTATTGTTAGCGCCATTGGCTTCATCAACCAATTCTGCACGCCCATCGCCCTCGAGTCTATCCAGTACCGCTACATTTTTATGTACGTTGCCTTTCCCTTTGCCGTCATGTCTGCTTCATAGGAGAGAACAGGCATGGTTCGCGCGCTACTTCTTGTCTGCTAACATGACGTACTCCTCACCACTAGCTTCGTTGGCTGGGATCTGATTGAGGCTCTCTGCTGGTACCTCTTTGGGTAAGACTCCCTCTCGATTTCTACGGGCAACTAAGCCCCTCTCCACACCTCACGTTCCCATTAGAGCCATGGCTAACCAGCGTCCCGTAGTGTCGAGTCACACGGCCGCACGCTCGAGCAGCTTGAGTGGGTTTATAACCAGCCTAGCCCGGTTAAGGCGTCGCTTAAGGTCGAGAAGATCGTTCTTGCCAATGATGGCAGGGTCGTTGAGGTTCTCGAGGATAGCGCCTAAACGCCGGCGCCACAGTACGGCACATGTTGCCAGTTCCGCCGTCAGAGTCCAACCAAGCACTGGGAAGTCCGGAGCCAATTAAATTTTGTGCGCAACACAATTTAGGTAATACTTTTTGGCAATGAGGGGACGGATTTGCGTCCTCTAACCTCATCCTTTTTAAACTATTCTCGTAGTTTTAATTGATAAAAATCAGCTGTAATAACGTGAGCGGATGTTTGGCGGCTTTCGTCACGTAACATAAAGATATCATTCGATTTAATTTTTAAACTCTTTTTATCCAAACCTTTCCTTTTTGATGGATAAGACTATCCTCTTTGTAAAGGTAATTTTTATACTTGGGAAGTAACGTTAGCAACTATTAAGCTCACGGTAACTTGCTGTAGCATGCTAGGGTTTAACTAAAGTTACAAAAAACGCTATAACGCAATCGTAGGAACCTGTACATATTATTATTAGCTAGACTTTTATTGTATACAATGAACTTAAACAACACAGTTTTTACTTTATGGACTTTGAGCGGGGCGAACCTAGGGACTCGTCGACTGAATTTGGGGAACGTTAGAATTAGGAAGGTGCCTGGATGTAAGTCCTGGATTCGAAGAGTTCAGCTACCGATTACGCGCCACCTCGTGATGATGATGACGCGGTCACTGGATTTTACGCGTATGCTAAAGGTATTAGTGGACGTGGGCCTCCCATGAAGTCTCTCTCCACTTGTGCTTACGCCCGCTTATCACGCCGACAGCTTGCACATCGACTCACAGCGATAATTAGCCAAGGCCGAAATATTTATATCCGGTGCCCTGCATTCAAACATGCTGGTTCTAGCCCCAAGAACACGGCCAAGGTTGCGTTGCTGTTTTACACAATGTCTGCAAAGCCACTACGCCAGCGCGTCCGCGCCCTACTTCCTGACCTGCACCTGGGCTTCCACCCCCCAGGCCGCCTCAACTCCATCACCGACGTGCCCGGAGTGCTGGTGCACACCACAACCATCCGCGGGCCCCCAAACCCGGACCCGGCGCGGCCGGCATCGGTGATCAACACGGGGCTCACGGCCATCCTGCCGCGACGTGACTGGCTCGACTCGGCCTGCTACGCCGCCACCCACACCTTCAACGGCGCGGGCGAGCTGACGGGGGCGCACTGGATCCGGGAGACGGGGCTGCTAGCCAGCCCCATCGTGCTGACGGGCACCTTTTCCGTCGGGGCCGCGCACGAGGGCGTCTACCGGCACGCCATCAGAGAGCGGGCCGGCGAGGATGGCATCGCCGACGTCGCGCTCCTCCCCGTGGTTGGCGAGACGTACGACGGCTTCCTCAACGACGGCGCCGCCATGGCCGTGCGCCCCGAGATGGTGGTGGCGGCCATCGACGCCGCCAGCGCCGACGCCGTGCCCGAGGGCAACACGGGCGGCGGCACCGGCATGGTCACCATGGGCTTCAAGGCCGGCACGGGCAGCGCGAGCCGCGTGGTGCGCGGCGCGGTGCGCGGGGCGCCGCGGGACTTTGTCGTCGGCGCGCTCGTGCAGTCCAACTTTGGCAAGATGAACGACCTGCACTTTGGCAGCGTGCCCGTCGGGCGGGTGCTGGCGCGGGAGGCGGGCGAGGAGGAGCGGCGGCGGCGGGCCGCCGGCAACGAGGATCGCGTCGGCGACGGCTCCATCATCGCCGTGCTCGCGACCGACGCGCCGCTGCACCCGGCGCAGCTGCGGCGGCTGGCCAAGCGCGCGACCGTGGGGCTGGCGCGCGCGGGCGGCTTCGGCTCCAACTTCTCGGGTGACATCTTCCTCGCCTTCTCGACCGCGGCCGCCGTCGAGGCCAACCCGGCGGTGCCTGAGGGCATGACGCCCATGGAGGCCAAGTTCGTGGCGCGGGTCGACCAGGCCGTCGACGTGGTGCAGGACGCCACCATCAACGGCCTGTTCGAGGCCGCCGCCGAGGCCGTCCACGAGTCCATCCTAAACGCGCTGTGCATGGCCGAGGACACGGTGGGCCCGCGGGGGAACAGGATGGACGCGATAGACCTGGACAAGGTGACGCGGATTGTTGAGCGGTACTTTTCGGGCATATAGCGACTGCTGTTAGTCTGGCGGCTGTTGCTGAACCTGTATGGATACTTCTTGCCGTGATTTGGGCTCTCACGCCAGTTCTTCAGGGAGGCGAGAACAGACAGTGCCCGAAACTAGCAACGCAGCAACGTGCCAAAGCCACTTTACACCATTTTCGGATCTAGCCGGATCTTAAACTCGCGGAACCCCAAGCGTGCCGCCGCCATCAGTATCTTGCCCACTTCCTTGGGGATAAACCGGACCAGCCAGACGACCGCGTAGCCCAGATACCAAAGCATGCCGCCGAGATCCCCTAGGAGCGCCGCGAGGAAGTCCCACGCCATGTCCCCTAACCGCGCGACAACGCACCACAGCGCCTTGGGCAGGTCGACGACGACGGCCCGCCCGAGCGCCACGAGGCCGTTGCGCACGTCCGTCAGCGTCACGGCGCCAAATAAACCCACCACCGCCGCCGCCGCCGTATGCAGCACCGAGACCGCGCATTCCGCCACGCCCAGCAGCGCGCCCATCAAGCCCTGGAGCCCCTCACCCGCCCAGCGCGCCGCAACCGCCACCGCCCCCGGGATCCGAACGGCCAAGCGTTGCAGCGCCGCGCCCATCCAGCGCGCCAGCTCCGGGGCGCGCCGGGCCGCTTCGGCAACGCCCCGGACGGCACGCTCAACATGGTGCGGCACCTCGCGTATTTGGCGAACACACCAGCGGCCCATGTCATAATGGCGCCTCCACAACTAGCGCGGTGCCCAAAGGAGCAAAAGGCACGGCAGCTCCCAGGCCAAAACGTAAACGAAAAGCGCAACGCCCCGAGCGGCGTTGCGGGCGGCCTCGGCCTCGCGCGCGCGCGCGGCCCGCCAGCGCAGCAAAGCACCGGCGCGGCGGGCGGGCAGGTAGGCGACGAGGTGGAGCTCGAGTATCGGACGTGGCCGCCGCGCTGGGAGAAGGTGGGGGTGACGGGCAAGACGGTCGCGTCGTCAGCGCCGCAGCCTTCGACGAGCAGGCGAACCATGACCAGGTCCCCGCGCGCCGCTACCAGCTACAACGGCGTGCGGCGTGGGGGCCCGGGGACGCGGCGGAAACGCTGATGCTGGTCGTGCGGCCGGCCGAAGCCGTCGGCGTCGGGCGCCCAGGGCCAGCAGCGCGCGCGCGGTCGGGGGCGGCCGCGCGCACGGCGACGAGGAGCGGCGTCTCGCCGTGCGGGCTGGGGTAGTCGGGCGAGACGAGCCCGGCGGAAACGAAGGAGGTGAGGAGGTCGTCGCGGCCGTTGGCGATGGAGTCGAAGAAGGCGGCGAGGATGGCGAGCTGCAGGTCGTACGACTCGACGGCCGCGTCGTGCCGGGGTGCTCGTGGCGGCGCGGGGGTAGCGGCGGCGGGTGTGAGCCGCCTGCGCTGTGGCGATGCGCGCGGTGAGGCCGTCGTCTTGGAGGCTATATGCTAGGAGCGGCGCCATAGGTGTTTCGTTTTGCAGGGCCGGCTGGACCGAGAAGGTGTCCGTCATTGTGTCTTGTCGGGTCGCCATCGATGTGAGGACAGTATGGGCTAACCGACAGACGCCCTCTCAAGGGATACGAGTTGCATGGGACTCAGCGGTCTGGCCAAAACCCTTAAGTAGAGACCCATGGAGGCCGCATTGGACAGCCCACTCCTTCTTGCCTGGAGCTCGCTCGCCTTAGCCCCTTTGGGTTAGCTGAATGTGGCCGAGCCTCATATCGATGTCCGTTTTTTGCTAGCAACGAGCGCTACAAGCAAGCGGCTGTGGTTTGTGGTAAAGGCCGCGGCTAAGCAGGAGCTTTTCGCTATTGTCCATGTAGCGTTCTGTGCGAGGATCGAAGCCAGGCGAGTGTGCCAGTAGATACGCAGTCCCAGGGCGGGACGGAGTCGCGTTGATTGTGTGCCAGGCGCCTCGAGAACCTTCAGGGCCCTTTTGGGGAAGAACCGAGAACCATTCGGGGAAAGAGTCCGGCGACAAAGGGGTAGAGTTTGAAGGATGGCTTGCGGCGGCTGGTGCGGGGAAGCATGGATTAAATTGGTCAAATTATTTGCTGATGAAGCGGGGGATGGGTCCGTGGATGCTTTGTCACAAAGGAGGCTATCACCAAAGGCCGGCACACTGTTCCAGGCCTTGGCACGGAAGATCTGCACGGGCACCGGGCAGATGCTTACCGAGCACTCGTCGGCAATGACAGGGGTGCGGTATCAGGTACCGCACCTACAAGAGACGGGATCTGGGTATATAAGGAGGCACAGGGCCCTCGGCCCTGTGACCGTCCTCCTTTCTCGGACAGAGATCTAGCTCAACATACAATAGACCCTATCTTGCACCGTTTGTCCGTCATATCACACCTTCGTACCCTTTTTTCCAAGCACAGCACTCCAAAGGAAGGTTGCTATCCTCCTGGCCCGCAAGTGCTTCGGCATTCACGAGGGCGAGGTCTTGGTCTTCGACAAAAGGGTGATCCCCGGATACGGCACGGTCCCAACTATGAAGCCTGTGAACCCGGACGGCAAGCTTAGGCTCCGGGGACTCTACTACTTCGTCGACTAGGCAGGAAACCTCCAGGCGTTCGAGTACTTTACTTCCGAAGCCCCCGGAATGGCCGGGATCCAGCCTTTCCTCGACAAACCCGTTCGGCTGCAGCGCAAGTTCGGGCTCAAGCTAAACTACGATGAAACCCTTTAAAACAAGAGCTAGAACGAGTTCGGAATCTCGTAGGTATGCGTTTCTAGAGCTAGATAGATACCAGCATTTGTAATCCTCGCATCACTTTCTATTCTCCAATGGCTCACCAATTTTCCTGCATTTTGAATGCTTTACCTAACTACCTACTCCTGCTTGCTCCGCGAAGGGCCCTATACAGTATGGCTTCACAACTGCCCAGCTGGCATTGTAAAACCCCGTCGCGAATACAGCTCTCCCCTTTCACCCGCAAAAAAAGCGCCCAGTCCCGCGGGAGGTCGCTGGGCGCCCAACGAACGAACAATTCCCTAATCCCTCGAGCTTGGTCGCGACATGGCGCTTGCGCGCCATTTGCAGCATGGGCGCTGCTGTCCCCGACCGTGTTCTCGACGATAAGAAAACGCAACAAGGCTAGAGAAAAGCAACATCGAGGGCGCCAGAGCTAAGCCCACCTCCGCAACACCTTTGGGCCCTCTTTAACTTCTTAGACAAACCAGATGTCTTGCTCAAGGGGCAAAAGTTACCCGTCATGAGCCACGATAGAGACATGTAGGCTTCCATCTTAGAAGTCATAGGTAACAGTGGTCGATCCAACCTCCTGACCCTGGTACAAGCAACGCCAGGTGATGTTGCCTCCCTGGAACTGAGCTTCAAGCTCAAATGTGGCCTCGTAGTATGAGACACCCGTAAGGAAGTTCATCTCCTTCTCGAATGTCTCTATAGGGACGTTGGTCATGTCTGCGTGAACAGTGCAGACGGGATACACATCTGGTTTGGTTGCAAGAAAAGTGGGTAGTTAGTATCAATTATCACTTGTACAGCCCTGGCCCTGATCCCAAACCTCAAAAACTGCTGGCACTTCGCGGAAAGCTCGGAATCACGTTGACTAGTGCCACCGGTCGGATCAAACGGTACCTGAAAAGATGAATGAAGTGTATATGACGTACCGTGGTGCCTAGAGTCCGTCGGTGCGACATCCTCGCTGCAAGTCACGAGTTTCGCCGATGTTCGAGCATCGCCTGCCGTGAAGAATTTGGTACATGCCGCAATCTTGATCACCTTTGGGTTTGACTGGGGCAAGCGCTCCGACTTCTTCAGTAGCCACGACATCTGGCCGGAGGCCATCTTCGCGCTGGTGTAGGGGCAGATGTAGGCAGAGAGTTCGCTGTGCTTGGACGCGTCAAACCGTTCGCCGAGGCCCACTCCGAAGAATCCGCGGGACAGTCTCACTGCCACAATGGAGGAAGAATCGAGCTCGAGACCACGGCAGACAGCACCGCGCGCGATCGCCGACCACCTTGGTTGAAGAGAGAATTCATGTTAGTACTTGGTTATTTAAGGTATTGGTCATGCGGACGGGTTGGTAAAGCAGCAGTGAAGTGAATGAAAAGCCTTTGATGGGGAGTTTTTTAACCAAAAAGGGAAATAGGAATAAGGGAAAGAAAACGTGGAGGAAGGAAAAAGAGATAAGAAAAAGAAGGCAATCCTTACGGGTTGTGGGGTCGCCGGATCTGGATCCGGCGACGCAAGCAGAATTTCTCGATCATCTTGTAGAGGTAGTCGTTCTTTCCGAAGCCACCAACAAGGAACACCATCTTTGGCTTTTGATGGCCGGCGCCGAGGACCGCGTCGACCTGGGATGTGATGAGCTTGAGAACGCGGTCGACGCATGGCTTGAAAACCTGCTTCATCTGATTGCCGGTCATGAAGAGCGTTCCGTCTTCCATCTGAAGGCGGGAGTCATCAAGTATACCACACTCGCTTGGGAGGCGGATCGCCATGCCCTCATCGGTCCCTAATTGTAAATAGTTAACCAGCATATTCAATCCAGAAGGTATAGTTAATTAGAAGAGTTGCAGGCCAGGCGCTTACCATCGAAACCGAGCTTGTTCGCTTCAAAGTCTTTCATCATCCGACTGCCGTGACGTTTCTTGTCGAAGGGGATTTGGTTAAACCGGGTGGCTCCAATCCACTTTTGGAGCCAGGACAAGAATTCCTGTTGATATCGTTAGTTTGTTTTACTAAAAGCCGAATGGAAAGCATACCAGGGATAACATCCAAAAAAGAACGAGGAAGAGGAAACGAAAAATGAGGAGTAGGAAGAGAAAATAAGGAATCTTGGCTAACTTTATCGATGAAGGAGGCGCCGCACTTCTCTCCATGGCCAACTGCCGCCTCTTCGACGTGGAATCGGGGTTCGATATGAGTGATTTTGTACGAGATAAGATCCACGGTGCCACCGCCGGCATCGCAAAGCACAAACGTATTGCCAATGTCAATCTCGACCTTGCTGGAGCTCTCGATCATGCTACGCAACGTGTAAGTCGCGGCTGCCTCCGGCTCAGTGACTGTCGAGATTTTGTCGGCTGCCCAGCCAGCACCCACGACAGCCTGAAGAGTTAGGCCTTTGGCGCGCTCGCTCCAGACAGCTGGAACAGTTACCATAAGCTCCTTTCGCATGCTGGCAAACACAGCGTCGCCATAGCGCTCTTTGAGCTCGTCGTAGGTCTTGACGCGGATTTCAGAAAGGAGGTCTGTGATGATTTCCACCACGTTTTTGCCAGGGTAGGCTGGAGGGGCCTGCTGACGACCACGGTGCCGCCAATGAGGGTGAGTCTGGTTGATATCTTTGTCGATCTCGCTGACATCGGCCGAGAGAAGCGTCATGAGCTCCTTCAGCTCGGGGGACAACTTGTGCTTGTCGTCGAGGCGGAGTTTCATGCAGGCATGGATGGGCACTTTGTGCTGGTGGGGCTTAATCTCGTCACCCCAAACCACCCGAACTCCGCTCTGTCCAGGAGGTGGCGGAAGATAGGCGATTCTCGAGGGCACCTTCTCCTTGCTCGTGATAGAGCCAGCGCCTTTCCAGGTCTGCACGACGTTGATCTGCTCGACGGGCGCGTCGGGCTTATCACTGTAGGCAACCCCCCTAGCGCAGATTAAAAGAAGTTAGATGGATCTGTAAAACCTGACAGGTCACGTTGGCCAAAAGATGGTCGAGAGTATGGGCTATCTTGGATATAGGAAAGGAAGAGGAGGCAGGAAGAGGCAGGAAGAGGCAGGAAGAGGAGATAAAAGGAGGGGGTAGGGGAGGACCGTTTCGATTACTGTCTGGCCAGTGTGCGGGTGTACTGAAGACTTACGAGAAGGTCGTGCCGAAGTCCAAGCCGATGACGATCCTTGCTTGCGCCATGTTGGCGGCTGATGGTCGAAGCTGCACTTGTGGTTGGGAAATCTATGTTCCCCGGTGAAGAGAAGAGACAGAAAAAAAATCTCTTCCTAGTTTTGGCACGGAAAGAAGACGCAATTTACGCGTGGCAGCAGGTGTCAATCAGGTTGAAAGACCCACATTGGAACCAAAGAGATTTTTCTCCCAAGCTCCTGCCTTGTCTCTCTAGGTCGAGAGAGCTCCACCCACCTTTGCCCTGGAACAGTGGGTCCAAAAGCAGAAATCTATGGAACTTGCGTGCTTGTTCATACATAGGTTTGAGGGGCAGGCCGATTCGAGAAAAAAATCGAGTTCCTTGCCGGATATCAGATGCCAGCCTACGCCAACGGCACCCAATCCATCGGGCTCTCCTCCACGCAGCAACATCGGCCTTGATATTGACAAGGCCTGTTCCGCTCCTGCCAGCACCCTTAACGGCATGGAATTTCTTTTCCAACTGGCTGCTGGCTTTGCGAACGGAACACAAACCGAGGCTCATCAGAATCATACTACAAACAGCAGCGACCACCCCCCAGCCGCTGATACAGCCAGCACGATGTTGGACAATGTCCAGCCTAGCAGCCATAGCGGCCCGGGCCATACGGCCATGGGCCCTCAGGCTAGTTCGGCGGTTACCCCTTCGGATACCTCTAGCATCAAGCATGAGATCAAGCCGGTGTGCCCCCAAGAAGCCAACAAGACACTTGGCAGCCCCCACGACACTCAGCTAGTTTCGGCAGCCATTCTTGCTGCCCCGCTGAATGTGCCAGAGCATAAGAGCGACATGTATGAAGAGAGGCTCCAAGAGATGACGGGCCGCTACCGTGCAAAAGTCCAGGAGTTGTCCAAGGCCAAGGCTAAGCTTGACGAATATGCTGCCCAGAGGGAGGAGCTTGAGACTGAGCTGGCCAAGGAGAGCAGCTTAATCGAAGGCATTATTGAGGAGGCCAACACAAAGCTGCATGAGGCCAGACGGGCGTATGCCGCACTAAAGAAGAATTCTGACACCGAGTTGGCTAAGAAGAACAACGTGATCCATGACCTCAAGAAGGATGCTAAGGCAAAGATGGACGAGAAAGATGGCCTCATCGCGAAACTACAGCAGGAGGCACTTGCTCACGTGGACCGGCATCAGCCAGCCTTCGATAGCACCATCGTGAGCGCGTTCGACAAGGTCAACCTCAAGATCAACGCCCTTGTGCGTCGCAATGCTGCCGCCAGCAGCAATGTCGGAGTCGGCGGAGAAGTGACTGAGGTCATTACCCTGGACAAGTTTGCTGAGGCTGTTCTCCTCAATCATTGGGGCAGGCTTGCGGTCAAGTCAGAATGGCACCATCGGCACGTTGCTAAGGCGTGGAGGTCAGACCCCAGAGTGCGTGCATTGATGCTTAGGGCCATGGTTTGGAACTTCCTCGCACGTGAGCTGTTCGACTTCAAGAAGCCGTTTGCCGCCCTCAATTCCACGGCTACAAAAGACATTGGGCGTCATTACATGGAGGTATTCCTTGATCCCAGTAAGTTACCCACCGGCTTCGCTTCTCTGGCTGGCCCGCGCAGACGCAGCCAACTGAATGGCGAGTCCACAACTGGATGCAGTACTGATGCATTTATTCGATTCTTGTAGTCACATCAGACGAGAACGCAAAATGGCGAGCCCTCACAGCCAAGATCCTGACCGAGTTCGAAGCGGGGTACCCTGAGCTTCGAAAGGCCTTACTCGAGCGTCTCCAGGACCGATTTGTCGACCTTATCTACAATGAGATCGCGATAAGGATCGACGCGCGGCCACCGCTGACACGTGATTTTGTTCACCAGCACGTGAAGGCAGGCATGGCGCGAGACCTCGAGCCGGTCCTGCAAGCGGCTATTGAGCTGGCCACTCTCACCAGCAAGGAGCGAGCTTGGTATCAGCTGTACTTTCCCAACCTTCGAAATGAAAAGTATCACAAAGGTGCCGAGCACCCCTTCATGACTACCGATCCGACGTCACTTGCGATCAACGTCCGCATGGCCGATTACGATGACGACGAGGAGGGATCCGTCTGCCTTTTGGCGTCGCCAGTTCTCTTGAAGTGGGGAAATGGAGCCGGTGAGGGCTTGAACCAGTATATGGTGCTGCGCAAGGCCTTTGTATGGCGATCGGAGGAGGTCCAAGTCTAGGAGGGCGAGCACTATAGACGAGAGGTTATGGGAAAACCTAACGCCCGAGCGACTGTATCCCGTACTGGAAGGTGGGAAGATGATGGGGGTTTGCATTTGAACTCCAAAAGTGGGCCTGACCAGGAATGGGTGCGGGGCAGAACAGAGCAGTCACCGCATAGAGATGATGGTATTGCCAAGCTCGTCGATTTCCCCCGGCCCGTGGAAGGGCGAGGAACAAAGGACGCGGAGGCAGGATGTTGACAGAAGGACAGATTGTAATTACTAGAAAGGGACAGTGTTGCCTCGCCACTCTACACAACAAAAGAAACCAGGAGGGAAAATACAATGGACAAGTTTCCCCATCACCAGCACCGTCGAGCTGCCGCCCCAACGAACGAATTGTCCAGGGACTATAAGCCATACCTCCGCCATACAAGGGGACGCCATGCGGCCCCGCAGGTCGTCGACTTGGCCTCGATCAAGGACTACCGCCTCGCTCCGCGCCACAGCTCCCCGTCGAGGTAACCTTGGTTCACGAGAAGGGGCACCAGGTCATCCTTAGAACCGTGTTGGATACTCTCTTCCATCTTGATGAAGACCAGGAGTTTAAGTCGGCACAGTCCAAGTGTTTGGCGACGCACTTGCGCATCTTACACCGCCCGTGGCCGCGGCCCTAGTCAGTCAGGGCCGGCTCCAGTCTGGAAAGCAGTTCGCGACCGGCAGAAGCGGAACACTGGCGGCGCCGAGATGCAGGGCGGCACAGCTGCGCAGCAATCATCGGAAGCCAGCATCGTTAGCCAGGTACGTCTATCCATCTCTCGTTAGACGCGATGGCGGCTGCCGGCGTTAAACAGCTGGCAATCGCGCCTAATGGGGATTAAGCTATGGTGGAGGCGGGAGGTCGACGCAGGTCAGAATCTTATAATTTAGGTAGCCGGATAACTGAGTGTTATTTCCGTAGTGCCTCAGCCCGTCAGCTGTTAGGGGCGGAGCAGGGAGAGAAACAGGAAAACGTAAGGCATTTATCAGGGGCGGCGGGGGCAGAGTGGACTTCCCCGCGCATGGCCTGCGAAAGCCCACGAATGGACGCCCGTGGATGACGCATTTTGGTCGGTTGGACCGGAGCTGCCTACCAAAATCCATAGGTAAATGTGCAAAATTACCCATTCAACCCATGGGAAGCGGCTGTTTCATGTAGGGGAGTGCTATATCACCCCGTACGTATTGCTATTTGACCCCAAAATAGTGGGGTCACCGTGCAACACAGACTGTCAAGGTACCTCTGCTAGTTTGGGCGGAGGATCTGTGCTTTTGCTGGTCGATCAATGCCTGTTAATGACGTAATTGTGTTCGTTAGTGACGTGCGGGGGGCATTGAAGTTAAATCCCCGTGGGGGAGGGCTCGGGCAAAAATAAAAGAAGCGGTAGTGAAGGCCAGTGAGTGGGGAAGGCTTTTAACCTCCGCCGTGTAACGCGGAAGGGGGCAGGTCACGTGCGA